AGGGGGAATTATTCGAGGGAGTGGAATTAATCGAAAAAATGCGGTATATTTTATGTCCTTTATGGAATATTCAAAAGTTAAAGATAGCTTTTTCTCTTAATCCCTCATTTAAAAGTTCCAAGTACACTAAAGCAAACATCCAATTTGTATTGTTTTCGTGAATACTTAGAAATTTTTTTTACAACTTTTATTTAATCATTTACTTACAAAATAATACATGCAAATAAATTTTATTTCCAAGAATCTTTTTTTCTTTAACTATTTTTTAAAATAATTTTTTACATTTTTATTTCACAAAATTTTTTTTTGCATTAGAATTAATTGTTATTTTTTATTTCGTTCGTCTTTCTTGCGCTTTCGTGCGTAAAAATTTTAATACCATGGCATTTTTACACACATTTTTTTATTTTTCAAACTAAACCAAAAATTTGGTTTATAATTTTTAAATGAACAAAAAAACTGCGCAAAAAATTAAAAGAAAAATCTAAGCTTATTACTTCCTTTTTTTACATTGTATAAAAAATTTTTTTCGAAGAAAAAGATTAATATTAAGCAAAAAAATCAAAAAGAAAATTTTATTTTAATTTATTTTAGCATAAAAAAGAATACCGGAAGTGATTATAAATATTTTTTATCAGAAAGTTTATATAAAAATTGGAAATAATAGTTGCTAATTATAATTTGTGATTTCTAGTTTAAGTCTAGAAAAATAACGGTTTTTGTAGGAGTTATTTCAATTGGACCTCACTACAAGATATGTATGCTCGATACAAACCACACCTCATTATAAGAAAACAACTTTTCAGCTCCAAAGGAGTCTGTTTTAGAGGAAAATTTAAATGTTATTATATTTATTCGGTTTTTTTGTAACTCGGTTCCAAATCTCGAAAAAAAACTGAGCCGTGCTGGGTTATTTTAAATTTTTATTTCTTCTGCAATTTTATCCAACTGGAATGCCGTTCCAAATATTTTTTAAATTCCAGTTGCATATTTAATATTTATCATTTTTCCCCCAAAAATTCTTGCCCTTTGGTAAACCTCAATTTTTAACACCAATTTCTTTTTATCCATCTAATTAATTATTTAAGCAGAAAAAACTGCGTGGGCAAAATTTGAAAAAAAATATTTTTTTTCATCAAAATATTACTTTTGTTTTTATAACAATAATACAAACCAATTTATTTCGGATTAAATAAATAAATAAGGCAAAATGGATTAACTTTTTTTACTATTTATTTTATAATGAGGGTTTTTTTCTTGTCCTTTATACCTGTAATTTAATGAAGATTTAGTTAGAAAATTAAAATAAAGGTTATTTAGATATGTGAAAAGATTTAATAAATATTTTTTATGCTTAAATGGAGATATTTTTAAATTCTAATTTATGAAGTGCTTTTCTAAGAAATCTGTGTGGGTTAGGCGCAGACTTTTTTGTTTATGTAGAATAGAGAAGGTTGGGAAATCCGTAGTGCGACACTTGCGGACCGACTTTTGCGGACCGACCTTTGCGGACGGACATTTGCGGATTGCGGATAGACATTTGCGGATCAGACATTTGCGGACGACATTTGCGGATTGCGGACCGACTTTTGCGGATCGGACATTTGCGGACCGTTTTTGGGAAAAAAAATTTACAAAATTAAATTTAATTTTCGAAAACGAAAAAAATATTTAGGTAAGTTTTTTTTTTATCTTTTCGATCTAACAAGTTAGACAAAGTTATGATCGTTTATTCTAGCTCCTTACCTATTGCATCCGTGGAGTTTTTGCTGCTGCGGGGGAAGCTGTGCATGACCATGTCATCGATGATATGAATAGGATTAAGTTACGAGCCCAGAACCCAGCGACCGTTGACTCCCCGCGAGGCGCGTGCCGCAAAACCCTGCGCGAAGCGCAGGGTTTTGCACAAGCGCCTCGCCTAATCTCCATAGGTTTACGTTGACCATTTTGATAAAAAAGTTGCCCATCGAAAAGATATTAAAATAAACTTAAATATTTTTTTTCGTTTTTGAAAATTAAATTTAATTTTTTTTTCCCCAAAAACGGTCCGCAAATGTCCGGTCTGCAAAAGTCGGTCCGCAATCCGCAAATGTCGTCCGCAAATGTCCGATCCGCAAATGTCTATCCGCAATCCGCAAATGTCCGTCCGCAAAGGTCGGTCCGCAAAAGTCGGTCCGCAAGTGTCGTACAATCGGGAAATCTTAAAATAGAGGGGACCTTTTTAATGTAAAGAAACATAGAAATAAGCTCCCGATTGGTCCTAACCTGCTCCAAACTCAAAATTTCGAATTTCAAAGCACCATCTCAGCCTATACATACATACGGAGTGAGCCGACATGAAATAAGCTCCAGATTTCGGGAGTTTATATTTTTGGATCCTAACAGTGCTTCGAACTTGAAATTTCGAATTTGGAAGCAGCATTTCGGCCTATACTATGTACATACTAGGGAATCAGCTGACATAGAAATAAGCTCCCGATTTTGTAAGTTTATTTTTTGGATCGGAATTCCCGACTCCAATCGGAATCCCCTGCTAAATACCAGGGGTGTGCGAGTTTCGCCTTTCGTCTTTTGCCGTTCGATTTTTAAAATCACTTATGGAATTCCTGCTAAATACATAGTACAATGGACTTTCATATCTATCCGCGCCCAAACATTTTTTAAAATTTTTTTTTTATTATCATCATTAAACTTTTAATTGTGTTTATTAGACCGTTTAAAGCCAAACAATATAAAATAAATATTTATCTACACAAACACTCTCATTTTCTCATTTTTCGTGCCACATTTGCGTGTTTAATAATTTACTTATTAACCTTAATAATATTTTTTGTTTAAATTCTTTTATTTTTTACCTTCATCATCAGATTTATTTTGTATTTTGCAAATAGTTTATCTTACTGTAGAAAATAATTATTAATGAAAAATTTCATAGCTCAGAATTTTCATTTTCGTTAAAATTATTTTTATTTTAGTTCCTTTAAATAATTAAAGAAATTTCAATATATATCGAAGTATTCGATATTTTCCTGGTAAGTTAATAAGAATACACAGATAGGTTTTTTATGGATTTAAATAATTTTGTTTAATATCTGGTTTTGCTCTCAGGGTCCTTTTTCCGTTTAAGTTTTGGGGATTTAACCCCTATATTTATTTCATTTCTCATTAAAGACATTTTAATTTAGACAATTTTATTTCCATAGTGAAGCCAGAAAAATATTCTTGAGAATCCATAAAATTGAGTTTTTTGCTTTTTATTAAAATTTCCTAAACTCTCTTTATTATCAAGTCGTTTTTAATATATAAAAATTTTTATAGATTTTTCTGTTTACCTATTATGTTTTAAAGAAAATTTGGTCGATTTCTTTTATAAAATTATCTATATCTGCCTAAATATTTTATCAAAAAGCATTCTAATCACATTCCCGAATGATTATAAAGGATTATCTCCGACCTGAAAAAATTTAAATTTTTTTTCAATTTGTGCGGGGGATGAGAGCAAAAGCTTTCAAAATCAACTCATTACCAAAAATTACCGCAAAACACAATAACTGCAATTTACACCCCTAGTCATGGCTATTCGGGTTATAACTCCAGCTAAACTATATGTATATTTAAAAATAAATTTTTTAACAATATATAAATAGCATTTCTAAAAATTCTATAAAAAATTATATAATTCTTTAAATAATTTTTTCATTATTTTTATTTGTAAATAACCTAATTATTAATAAAAAAACCCAAAACTATTTAATTAAAAAAATTTTATAATTTTCTCCCACACCCACTTTTCTCATTAAATAAAATCTTATTATTGTAAAAATAAAATATTTAATTTGCGTGTTATGTAACCACTCAACTTTAAAAAAAAATTTTTTTTATTATTTAATATAATTTTTTGTCTTTCCTTTCCTTTATTTCATGCTTTTCCACCTGCATTTAAATAAATTGTCAACAAAACTTTTTTTCAATTTTTATTCACAAGCATTAAAAAGAATTTTAAAAATTAAATAATTAATTTAAAATAATTTCTTTTTGTTTAAATCAGAATATTTTAATTTTAAAGTTTTTTTATGTTAAAGTTTTATAAATAAGTTTTATAATATCGAAAATCAAAAGAAAACCCATCAAAAATCAGTAATTTAAATTTTAAAAAGCTCTATTTAACTATAATACTTCTACATTTATTTTACAATATTTTTTATTTAAATTTAACTCAAAAATTTATTTAAATATTTTTTTTAATATACATATTACATAATCGAATTAAACCAAATCCCAGATTTTTTGAACAATTAAGTAAAATAGAAAAGGGTTTTTAATTTTTATTTTCTTATACTCGAAGTAATTTGTAATTTTTAATTAATACCAATTTTTCTTTTCTAAATGCCTCACCCAATATTATTTTCAAATTGTGAGAAAACTTTTATTTTATTTTTTTACAATTTCACATTTATGTACAAGTTTTGAAAAATATATTTTCATTGAAAAACATATTCCTCTCGTTAAATCCAATATTTATTTAGCATAATTTGACTTTATATTTTTTTGTTAAATTTATTTTTTTACATAAACATTTTTTAATTATTTTAATTTTTATTTTAGATATTTTAAATATTTAAATTTATTTATTAAAAAAAAGAAAAATGGAAGATTGGATAGAAGACCCTTCTGATTTTAAATTGGTTTGTTTAGCTTTTAAGTACCTATATTAGAAATATATTTTTTCTAAAATTTTATCGATATGAACTTTAAAAATTTTTTTAATTGTTACAATAAATGTTTGGGCAAGGAAATGAATTTGTCAAAATAATAGATAAAAAATATTTTAACAAATTTTAATCAAAAACCATTCAAATGACAATTATAATTTTATTATAAAATCCTAAATTTTAAAATTATATTATAAAAAATAATTTTTTGAATTTAAATTTATTTAGTCATTAAATGGCGTTAACAGAACAGAATTAGAACATTTACTTGAAAAAATAAGAAAGGAAATGGGAAATGTATTTCATCCACAAACAATTGCAACAGAATCTCCTCCAATTTTTAATACAAAAAATATAACTGAAGGGCTATTTTGTGCTGATATTATTGTTGGTTTTTCTTAATAAATTTAATTTTGAATTTGGAAATTAAGAAAAAATATTTTTTAACCTTAACTATGTATGTTTTAAAAAATTGTAATTAGTTCAATATAAAATTATTAAATCGAACTAATATTAGCTTAACCAATTTTCCTTCATTTTTAAAACATTAATAGTTTTAATTTCTCAAAATATTCCTAAATATATTTAATAGTGAAATAATTATTTTAAAAAATTCTCAATCTCATCAGAGATAGATTGAGAAATAATTAGTTAACTATTATATACTTAATTTTAAAAACAATGTATGTATCTAAGTTAATAAAATAATTATTTTAGGAGCGTTGTGATGAAAAACCTTTGTGGAATGCACTTATGGGTTATGGGTTTTTAGTTGTTTTTTGTTTTGCTTTAATTGGGAATTGTCTAAATTTGTTAATTTACAATTCTGACCATATTCGATTTTTTATTGCTATTAGAATGCTTTGCACTAAATTGGTAAGGAAATACAGGAGATCTTTCAAAATATAATTTTATTTTAGTTAATGAATACTTGTATGATGATGGTTATGCTTCCTCAAGCTCTTCGGGTTATTCGTCTTTGGGATATTGGGGATCGGACTGACCAACTTTATTGGCGTTTTTGGCCTTATCAGGTAAAATTATTTAAATTCCTGTTAAATATCTTTTCGATAATATTTCTTTTTAATTTTCAAAAATAATTATTCTTCATGATAATATTTCTAGAATTTAGTTAAGAGAATGCCATCCAAGAGTAAAAAATTTTTTTCGGTTCTCTCATTCTTGGCTCTCTCATTTTCACTTGTCCAAATATAAATATTCTTTTAATTTCGCAGAATTTTAATATAATTTTAATATAAATTTTAAAGGCTTATTTAACCAATGTTTTTGGATTTTGTGCAATGTGGCTAACAGTTTTAATGACTGCAGAATGTTATATCCATATATTCTTCCCTTCAAAATCAAAACTTTTATGTACTAAACAGACTGTTTGGCGTTCCTATTTTATTATTTTACTTACTGGGTAAATTAATTTTTTAAAATTATTTTCATTATTTCTTAATTTTAAGTCTTATATTGGCTTCAATTTATCCTCTAAATCGTGATGTTTCGTTGGTCAACAAATGTGATCGAAAAGTTGTTAAGATTATAACTTCTCAAAGTAAATTATTAGTTTTTAGACACATAAGTATTCTATAATAGATGAACACAATCTCTCTAATCGTTGAATAATAACCACATAGATTCCTTAACTCCTTCCTCGATCGTTTTATCATTCCCCTTTTCTCACTTTCTCCTATTAGAGAAAAGTTAGGATTTAGATCCATTTTTATTTCCAAATTTTTGGGATCTATGCCATTTAGGCTTATTGGCCCAACTATTGGTACCCGACGGCTCGCCAAAAAAATTTCTCATGAAATATGAAATGGGAGAAGATCGGGATGATTTAGTTCAGAAATACTTGATATATGTATTACTAATCAAGTATTTCTGAATATAAGCATTTGTGATCTCTCTTTACTTATCTATTATTCACTTTATTTTCGAATAATATATTTTATTATTTTAAAGGCTCAATTATGATTTTATTTGAAAAAATCCACACAATTGCGGATATGTTTCTGTCCATTCTTTTGCCGTTATCTTTACTTGTAAGCTAAAAAGTTTTTGAAAATTATTTTTATCAACCATTTAAAAGGTTTTTATGACAATAATGATAGTTTGGAGATTGTGGATTTGGCCTAATCGTAGATGGAGACATCTAAAAACTAATGATATAACTAAGAAACCTCCAAACCAAACAGGACCGACAACTAACCTTTTAACTAATGCTGCATATAATGAACGGAAAAGTAGAGAAAATGGAAGTAGTAATGGGAACAACAACAACAATAACCATTTTTCAGCAGAAAAGAGAGGAGTAACAAGAATTACATTAATTACTTGCTTTATTCAGGTGAAGATTAATTTCTTTCATGGATACTTACTAGGGTTGGCGGTCTCTGGAATATCCAAACTGAAAATTTCGGATACTCGGACTTTTTCAATCCCGGATGTCTGAATAATGAATACTTGTTTCACTTTCTAATAAAAAATATTTTTAAGTTGGTCACAGAAACACCATCAATGTCTGTTCTCATCTACGTCTCAATGTATGAAAATTAATAAAAATTATTAAAAGAATTTTTAGACAAAAGTTTTCCTATTAAAAAAATTTTTTTAAAGGTTCGGACCAAATGTACACAAAAAGGAACATGTTTGTACTTTGCAGACTATTTCCTATTTCTTATGTCTTTGCAATGCTTCATTATCATTTTTTGTCTATATAACCTTCAGCAATCGTTTTAGAAAGACAATGATTAAGTGAATATTTAATAATTTTTAGTCAAATCTCGTTCTTAGATACTCCTAAAATTAGGCATTCCTTAATTCAGAATATGTTTTTTAAAGTTGGTCGGACACTGGTTAGAGTGGCCAACCAATTTTCCAGACAAAAAAGCCATACCTTCGTTGTATGCCCGGCCTTTTCAGCTCCTAGGGTGTATCTAAAAATGCTGTCCAATTTATATATTAAATTATCAAAAATTATTTTTAAAGTCGTGTTCGTCTACTTTTACATCGAGTATGCCCAACTATTTTTAGTGAAGTACCTCCTTCAACAGGAGGACTTAAAAATTACGGCAGACAAATGAGGATGCCTAATTCAAGTGCTACTCCCTCACAAATGGTTGTTTTAACAAGCAGAGACAATTCACCAAGAAATGGAAGTCAATCTGAAGGAAAACATCAAAAACTTTTGGTTGTTGTAAGCGAGCCGAAAAATTCTGGCAAAAAAAGTCGAGCAGCTTCAATAACAACAAAGGATGTAGAAGAGGGTAGAGGTCGTTGTTCTCCTTCTTCAAAATTAAGTAGCCGAAATTCATCAGAACACGAAATTGATAAACAAAAATTACAACAACATTTCTCTAATTTTCCTATTTCCTTCACTAGACGATTTCTTCGCGATAAATTAGTTAAACAAACAAAAGAGAAAGGGCCGCTGAAAAAACTTGAATGTAAGAATTAATTTTTGGACAAAAAATTTAGACAAAAAGACCATAGTCCGATTAAATAAACAAGGAAGTAAATTGGTGATAGAAAAATATTATAGAAGGATTGAAATTTAAAATTTCTCAAATTTTTCAAAAATTGAAAAATAAACCTAAAAATCCTCATATGTTGAAAGCCCCAAGGATTTCATTTAAGAAGGTGGATACCAATTTAGAGACAAAGTCATCCGACTTATATAAATATAGTAAAAAAACGAGGAAAGTCCTTTTCTTCCATTTCTTTCAGTGGATATTAAATTAAGTAAAGTCAATAATAATTTGAAAAACATCTTGAATTGTTAAAACAGGCACACGTCCAAGTAGGCGCGCGGCCATAACGGAATTTATAACTAGCTGGAAGATTTCTGGCCCTTATTAATTTTGGTACCTTTTTCTTTAGCTCGATGAGAGGAATCGTTTAATACTAAATTTGGTAATATTCAGAAATCTTGAAGCAAGTTATGGCTTTTCGCCGTTATGGCTACGCGTACCCCTCAAAACACCCTTTTCACTCAAAAAATTATTTTAAAAAATTATCAATAAATTAAAAACATAAATTCCTTTTTTTTTCCAGCTGACTCTCTAATGACAGAAACAACAAATTCAATGGAAACAATTCCAGCCTCCCTTTCTGGTCATCATTTAGCTTTTCACAATAATTCTGTTGATAGTTGTCGCCCTCTAAGTAATTCAGTTAATGGAAGATTAACAGGAAATAACCAAATAGAACAGCAAATATTAAAGAAAAAAGATTGTTGTAATGGAGAATTATCAAATAATTTGAGAAGGAAAACTTCTAGTGCAAATGAAGTTACGGGAATTAAAAGAAGTTCTATTTGTTCAACCAATACAAATAGCCAATTCGATGCTTTTCTTTAATTTTTATTTTCTTTTTGATTTTTTGTTTAATGAAAATCTCAATTTTTGTTGATTGCCAAAACATATGTATCCCTTTTTTGTATTTAAAATTCAGATTTTTGTAAATATTATTTGTAATTATTTAATTAATTTCTTCTTGATTTATGCATTTAAAATTATTTTACTTTTTTAGTTGATAAAAAAATTTTTGAATTAGAAATTTTACATCTCGATTTCTCTGTTCCAAAAATAATTTGACACCTAGTTACTTGAACTTAAAAGCTAGAATTTTTATGTACAAGAACAGAGGTAGAGTTCATCCGGCATAAAAAATAAATTCTCTATTTAGGGAATCTGGTTAGATAGGTCCTTATTAAGGGGTAGGGCTTATTATAGGTAGTGCTTAAGTATCCTTCTGTCCTGAAATTATTTTACGGGCCTTCTGAAAAGCCAAATTAAACAATGACCCTCTCTCTTGACGTAAAAACGTCATTTTTAAACTTCTCTCGTCAAACCAGACAAAATATGCATTTACATATTCACCCAGCTTATCCCAAAAATAATTTTTAAATTAGTAAAAGCTAGAAAATTTTTCAATTACCTGATATTTTTATGTATTTACACAAATATTTACCACTAATTCTATAGTTTACTACTAGTATTTACGCATAGTGTATATTGATTGTTTTTAGCCAAAGCATTGCCCAAACATTTTATTTTCTTTATATACACGTCTTCCATTAAGTTTTATTAAATTTAGCCATTAACAAAAAAAAATTATTTTTTTTTCGAATTTTTAAAATATTTTTATTCTCTTCTCTTTTATTTATTATCAAGTTTTAAAAAAAATTTTGATAAAAATAAAATTAAATTTGGCGAATTAATAAATACATGTCTTTTACATTAAAAAGAATATTTTATAATTTTATTAATAAATTTATTTAATGTTTTTGTCATTTAGGTTGGGGGATGTCATAAACAGGAACAAAAGTTTTTTTTAAATTAATATCTTTAATTTTTAAATTAATTTTCAAATATAAATACATAAACTTCGTTTTTTATTTACCCAACAAATTTCTGCATTTATTATAAAAACATTCTAAACTTTAAAATTCTGCTCAAAAATCGTAAAAATTTTATAAAATCAGTAAAATTTTCAAAAATGAGTATGTTCTTTTTGTTAAAGTAACAATTATTTTTTAAATTGATAGAAATTTTTTAGTCCATTGGACTTAGGGAACAGGACTATAAAGATAACTTTAATATATCTGTAGAAAAAATCTGATTCTTACCTACTTTTTAGAGACAGGTGGTAACTGGTTAAGTGTAGTCTTTAAATAATTAAAGGAGAGGGGAAGTAATGTGGTCTATCTTACTGAGAAAGTTAATCTCTAATAATGTCAGGTTCCCTAATAATTTCCCCTCCAAATACTGAAATTACAACAAAAATAACTTTCTTTCTTTTATTTCTCTTTTTTTTGTCCGCAAATTTTTCTCAAAATTTTTATCAATTGTTTCGCTTTTACTCAATCCATCTAATAATTCTTTTATTTACTTTCACACTTCTTTGTATATTTTTAAAAGAAAGTAAAATTATTATTTTACTGAAACCGGTATTTGGACAACACAAAAATTATTATTAAAATAGTTCTTTTGTGATCTTTGTTCGCAAATTAAAAAAAATTTAAATAAATTTTTTTGCTTTTTTTCTTTAAAATTTTTTTTTATTTATTAAAAAAATTTATAGAATTATTTCAGTTTAAATTTATTAAATTTATTTATTAATTATTTAAATTTATTTAAATTTATTAATTTTTTAAACTATTTTATAAGTTAAATTATTTAAATTAATTTTTTTACAATCTCCTCCTCCTCCTTCCCTATTTTAGTCCCAGATTAATTCTCCTTTTAGTATTCCTTTCTGCCTCGGAAGCAGAGGTGGGTCGGAACAGTCAGAGGTGTCGGAAATCGGAACTGCCGGAAATCGGAAATGACTCAAAAGTCGGAACTCGGAAATCGGAAATCAAAATTTTTTTTCGGAAATCGGAAATCGGAAGGAAAAAAACGCCGGAAATCGGAAATCGGAAGGCGGAAATCGGAAATAAAATTTTTATTTTCATAACTGAAATAATATTTAAAATTGTAAGGTGACAAATTATGGGCTTTTTTGAGTGTAATTTGAGGGTGTGAATTTCTTTTTGCAACTCAAAAGTCAAATTCGAAGGGATTAAAAGAGATATTGTGGGTCAATCCCTCGATATCACACACAGATCCCTCGTTATTAACTATGACTCCTTGAAAGCACACGATATAACTCAAAGTCCACCTTAATCCATCCTAATCCTCCGATATACCATTGAACTTCCATTTACAGCGCCGCAGGCAAAATTTTTTTGAGATTTTTGGGAGCCTTAAGCCAAAAATCTTCTATTTTTTGCGCCGCAGGCGAAAATCTTGAGAATTTTGGAAGATCCTTAAGCCAAAAATCCTCCATTTTTTGCGCCGCAGGCGAAATTTTTGAGGATTATAGAAGGCTAGAAGCCAGATTTTTTCCTTTTTCTGCGCCGCAGGCGAAAATTTTGAAAACATTGGAAGAATCTTTAGTCGGAAATTTTCCTTAAAAATTGTCGGAAATCGGAAATTTTTCCAAAATTTCGGAAATCGGAAATCGGAAATCGGAAGGAAAAAAACGTCGGAAATCGGAAATCGGAAGTCGGAAATCGGAATTCCGACCCACCTCTGCTCGGAAGTGGTCAGATTTGTTTTTTTAAATGTTTATTTTTGACATTTCCGTCTATTTTTTCATTCCTAATTTTTAGCTTAACTTTTAATTAAAATGCTAGAGGAAAATAAAAAAAATAAATTTTAATTTTTTATTTGCTATATTTTTTAAATTAAGATACTCTATTTTATCAAGAAAATTAATAATTAAATTTCAGCTAAAAACTTCGAAAATTACTTTTCTTATTTAAATTATTATCCTCACTTAAAAATATTTCTTAATTAGACCGACAAATAAATCTCTTATTAATAGGTCTTTCGCAATTTTGAAGGGCAATTTATTTTATTTTTCCGACAAAGCAAATCAATTTATCTGACTTGTGTATTTTTAATTATTTTATTAATTTATTTTCGTTAAAATAACAATAATTTCTTTTATTTTAGACTAGTTCCTTTTTATTGGAATAAATTTTTTTTATTTTTTTATTCCTCCACGTTTCTTTAAAATAACAATTAGTAATATAATATTGTATATACAAATATTTCCTCAAATTACACATAATTCTAAAAATAAATTTTATTTTAGTTAGGGTATTTACATAATTTAATTTAAATAAAATAATTTTTTGTTAAAAAAATAATTATTAAATAATGTCAAATACTTGTGGTTCTTTTACCTATAATAAATCATCATCATCCTCCTCTTCCTCAACTTCAACAGATCCTATGGCAAAATTACTTACTAGACTTAGATCTCGTACTCGAATTTCTTTAGTTATTTTTGGTGCTGTAATGATACATTTAACTATTGGCACTTATCACACTTTTGGTTAATTTTTGGAAAATAAAAATAAAATTTTTATTTAAAAATTGTGGAAGAAAATAAATTAGAAAAAATAAAATTTAATTTTAAAGGTAATATGTTACCTTATATGGCTTCTTATATGAATAACTTTACTGATAAAAGCGTTAAAATTGAACATTTAATTTGGATACCCACATTTCAGGGTAATAGATGACCTTTAATTTAAATTGATATTTTGTTAAAAGGTTGTTTTCCTTTTGCAATGATTATTGGTGGATTTTTGGCTAGAAGGTTTGGTCCTAGAATAGCTGCCGGAATTGGGTGCTATACAATGTGGTAAATACCTATATTAATTTTAAAGTCCAAGTGCATGAGATCCTATCTTTCAGTGTGAAAAATATATATATCAGCCGCGTTGGGATATATTGGGGATTTGGAATATATCGGAGGATTATAGTAATATCGGTATATTTGGAGGATACATATTAACCCCCTCAATATCTTATATTCCCCAACAGGTTCAAAAAATCTGGCTTTATGTTCAAATTTTAACTACTCTGGCCCGGCTTTTTTCTCAACCCGGCCCATCCCTAGTTTAATATCCTTTTATTTATTTTAAATAATTTCGATTTTCGTCTTTCATACATATTTTTGGACTTCTTTCGTTGGAAATATCACATAGAATAATTAAAAAATTAATTTTGTCTTTAACTTTTCAGTGCAAGTGTATTTTTATCTGGATGGGCCATTCAACATTCCTACTATGCTTTTCTACTCACTTATGGTTTGATGTTTGGTTTAGGCCAAGGAATTGCTGTAAATATTAACTTACAATAATTAAATATATCCAATTATTTAAAGTATGTAGTTGCTGTTTCTTGTGTTATAAATTGGGCACCTAAAATGGTTGGGCTTGGTTCTGGTATTGTTGCGGCCGGTTTTGGAATTTCTTCTTCCATTTTTGCTCCGATTCAGGTCGTAACAAAAATTTTGGTTTAAACTTTTAATTAATTTAAAGACAAGAATTATAAATCCTCACAATGTCGCCCCAACAAGTGATGGATATTTTAATGATCCTGAACTTCTGTGAATATTTAAATTTAATTATATATTAAAATTTTTTCCCAAAAATAGAAGCAGAGTTCCAGGAATTTTTACTACTTTAAGTATTGTCTTTTTTATAATGCAATGTATTGGACTTATTTTTATTTGTGATCCACCAACAGAGGTAGTTAGTAAAATTGAGTTGACACATTCTAGAGAGATATTTCATAAATCATTGGGCCTTTTTAAAATTCTATTAAACTTCCGTGATCAAATAGTTACTTACCTTTTTAAAATAGTTCTGTCTAAGATTGTCCTTAGTAATGCACTCAGATTTCACTGTAAAAATAGAATTCTGAATATAATCCACTCACCTTAATAAACGTTTTTTTTTAAATTTTGGATAGTTACTGGTTGAGGGAGCTGCCTGAGTAATACTAGCAGTTTACCTAGAATACACCAGTATAAGTAATACACCTAATTATAAGATATAATTTGCTCAACCCTCATAAGGGTATTTTATAGTAGCTCGACTATAATATGAATCTTAAATAATCAAATTAAAATAAAATTAATATTATTTTTGTAAAAACGTGTCAACACTTTTATTTGATAAAACTTTTAAACTTCTCAACTTTGCCAAAAATTAATGTTAATTTTATTAAGTTTGCTCGCCGTTTTCTCGTTCATGATTGTACTTCCTTAATTGACATGGCCTGGCTTTCAAAACGCCGCTCCCATTGGCTAGCATCAAATGGTCAATTTATAATGGATTTTTAAAGTGATTTATTGTGTAAAAATATTTTTAAAGAAATTCTAGAAAAATATCATTTTAATTAAAAATTATTTTATCATTTTTAAAGGCCCTCCACTTCTTTCAAGTGGCTGGGCACAGGCAAAGCTTGGATTGACTCGAGTAGAACAATTTGGAAGATATCAGTATTCAAAGTGATTAATTGGGTTTTAAAAATTTATTTTTATTTTTTGAAGATTATCGGCAGATGAATCTGATGAGCAAAAAAATATGGTCCCAGATAAATTAACGGTACTTTATAATTTTTAAAATATATTTTTAAAGAAATTCTAGAAAAATATTTTTTTAATTAGAAATTATTATCATTTTTAAAACCGCCCACTTCTTTAAAGGCCCCCTCTTCTCAGATCAAATCTTTAATTGTTTTTTCGAGTAACACTACCAAATAGTCAACTCCGCTTTAATAACCTGGCAAATCAGTGGGTTCCTCCTGTTATAAGCCCTCTACTTTCGGTCCCTTCTTTGGGTGAATGGCACTTGGTAACCTAAATCGAATGAGTATAAGAATAATGTGAATTTTTTACTTTTCTTTGAATTAACTGAATTTTATTTCTTAGGAGCTTGAACACTCTCTTAAAGAGGAGGGCAACTTAACAAATTCATTTCCTACACCTCCTAATGAATCAGCTGATTCCGAAGAATTGGAAATTGAAAAACAAGTAAAAAACTGTTTTTAAATAATTAAATATTATTTTTTTTTAATTTTTAGGGTCTTCCAATTTCTTTTGATCCTTATCAAATGCTACAATCCTCAACATTTGTTTTTCTTTTTATTTCTCTTTTTTGTTGTTCTTTTTATGGAAATTTCTTTTATAATCTATACAAAGTAAAAATTTAAATTTTTGGAAGTAAATCAGCGATTAAGAGAGACTTATATTTTGAAAATTTTTTTGGAATTCTTGAAAATGCCCTCATAATTCCGTCACTTTATTAAATATACTACCTAATTCAAAAATTACAGACATTTGGCGAAACCTTTATTGACGATGACTTTTTCTTAGCAATGGCTTTTAGTCTCGGTTCCATTGCAAATGCTATAGCAAGAGTTGGTTGGGGATTACTTACTGACCGAACAAGTTTTCAGGTCTTTAATTAAATTTACCCTCTTCAATTTTAATTTTTAAGACTTCCCTTTGTATGGCAACATCGTTGGCAACAGTTCTTTTACTTACAATGCCCCTTACAGCACTTGCAGGACGTTATGTTTATCTTTTATGGGTAAATAATTAGAAAAAATTGTTCCTTTAATCAGGATAACTATAAGTTGGGTTGGGGGCCCGATCCGGCCCGGTCCGAAAGATCGAGTCGGGCATTGAATTTTGGCCCGAAGAAGACTCGGTCGGGCCGGCCTAATAAAAATAAGGCCCGAAAAAATAACTCGAACGTCGACCGATTCGAAAACTCTAACCCTAACTATAAGATTCACACTTGGGGTTGCAATTGTATTTTTGGGTGGTATTTTGTATTGAGGATATCACCTAAGCCTCAGCCACCTCTCCCCACTTTAATGACCAACCAAAACTTAAAAAACATCTTAAAAAAGTGTTTGAGAATGTTTTGGATCCGGATATCCGAAGATTTTCCAAGAATATCAACCCTACTTATAACAGAATTATCAAATAAATTGTATTTTCATTTTTAGTTAATTTTAATGTTTGTTTGTTTGGCAGCAACTCATGCCCTTTTTATCACAGCAATCGTTCGTTGTTTTGGTTCACAACATAAAATTATTAATTATGGGTTTTTAATTCTTTCAACGGTAAAACTAATTTTTTAAATTTTAATTTACAAAATTTCAATCCTCCTTTTAGACTCTCAGCGGCATTGTACTTGCTGTTGGAAGTGAATACTTTCTGCATTCAATTGGATATAATTGGGCTTTCATTCTCACAGCTTGTTTTCCATTTATTGGTAAGAAAAACTTTTTTGTTTCCAACAAAATTTAATTTTTTCTTTTTAAGCTTTCCTTCTAACTTCGGCTATTCGAATTACTCCACAAGGGCATTTGATTGTCTCGAAATAAATATAACAAAAAAGTTCAAATTTTATTTTCTAAACTCCTTTCTAGCCATGATTTTTCTTTGCCCTGTGATGTTTTTGTGATAATCTTTTAAGCTATATTTATATCTCAATTCATTGCTTTTGCATATTATATGTATATTATTTTATGTATGATACCCTTTTTTCTCATTGATATTCTTTAATATTTTATAGATTTTTAAATTTTTATTTCTAAGTAAAGTTGGTGGAAAGTAAAAATTATATTTTTTTATTTTGTAAATTAGTAAATGCATACAATTTTTAAAAATACTTTTAACTTTTATTATAAAGATTCTATTTATTTTTAGAATTATGTCTCCCAAATAAAGATATAATTAGGATATGCTTTGGCTTTATAATACTATTTAAATTATAACAGGATTTAAAAGAATTCGAAATCAGTAGAAAAAAAGCAAAATAAAATACTTTTACTTTTCCTTTAATTAATATAGACAACTAATTACGAATGAACCTTGTTGGGGGAATTGGAAGTTTACAATAAAAGAAGGGAGAAACGAAAGATAATTTTAAAAAATTTCTAGGGATCTGCTGGGATTAGGGATAATTCGAAGAAATTCGGGGATCAAAAGGGATATGAAATTGCTGTGGTATCCAACATAGCTGAGGATTTGGGTAGTTCGGTTAGGGTTTTCAGTTCGGTTAATATCCTATCAGTAATTGAATACTTAAAATTATACATTACAATAGGATTCAACTAATTAAATAATTTTTTAATTAGCTATCACTAGTTTTTTCAATTTCACTCAATTTAATTTCAATATCCTTATCATCATCTTCTTCAATCATTTCAATAAACTTTTCTTCTTCAATATCAATTTTATGTGTTAATTTACATAATTTAATATCTTCCAAATAATTATAATTAATTTCAATAGCTATAAATCTTGGATTTTTCATTTTTTTTATTTTTCTAAATTTGTTGGGCATATTCTTTTCAATATAGAATTTATTTGAATCGTAATTAAGAAAATACTGTTCGAGTATTTTACTTTCAGTATTTTTATTTAATTTATAGTATTTTGCAATTCTTTTTAGTTTTACTCCAGTCAGAGGTAATGGCTTTTCATTCAAATAAACATCAAACATTTTATCTGAAAATAATTATTACAGTCGTATCTAGTGTTCCCAAAATCAACGTAGATCACATAAAATATATGGTAATATAGCCGTGATGTAAATTATACGATTGGTAATTTTAATCTAAAAAATAGCCACAAATTATTTCCGAACTTCTGGAAAAACAATAAAAATAACCTGAATCTTTCGATGGGGTTTCTCTATTTATTTTACAAAACTCCGTTTTGATAATTCTGAGCCCTATGCCATTTATTTTGTATTCGTCTCTCTTGTTCTTTTATTTAAAATTAAATATTAATTGCAATCAACTCTCAATATAACGAACTTGAAGGAAGCTAAGGGAAAGTTTGTTATATCAAGTGTTCGTTAAATTGAGGTGTTACTATGTTGAGATTAATAAAAAGCAGTAATTTGAGTTCATACTTATATAATCGAGTTTCATACACACATAGAGCAGAAAGAAATATGTAAAATTGAGGTGATCCGTAATTGAGGGTTTAGATTTGGCAGCTCCCAAATCTTATAGTCAACCAAATTAGAAAAGTACTTTAAATGTATGTTCCATAAATAGAGTAGTACCTTTTATTGGATGTACGTAAAATTGAGGCCATTTGTATGTACTTAAAATTGTTTGTTCGCTTATTCGATTTAGTTTCGGATTTTAAAGGAATTTTTTGAACCGAAACCAAATTATGCTTATGAATTAAAGTATTAAAAATGGCAATAATCTCAGAGTGTCGTCGAGCGCAACTTATAAACCTTTTTACTATTTTAAATATTAATTTATAAAAATGATAAAACAATATTAAATAGCACTTACATAGATCATTTTCTGAAAATTTTTCGAATTAAATTAATTTTTAAAATAAAAATATACATAAATTTGCTTTTCTTTACAATCAAATTCTCTCGATAATTCAGAAATATCGTCTTTAGTAAATGGCAGACCTTGCCCAAATTTTCCTAATATTATTCCCTAAAATTTTTCTTTCAATTTTCAAATAAATATCAAAAAACAAACATATTTGCTCAATTCAATTAGCTTTCCTCCTGTTAATTTTTAAATTTTATTTAAAATAAATTGGATTATTTACCGTAAATTCTCTAATAGAATGGCCACCTCGAGCTGAATGCCCCCCTCTTTAATAGCCCCCTCTAATATGTAGAATGAGCCCCCTTTTTACGCTACATATATGTACATATGTACATATTTATTTTTTAGAATTAAACTAACCTTCAATTTTAATCTTTTCCTTTAAATTATCAATTTGTTTTTTAATTTTTATTTTTTCATCTTCATTATCCAATATTTTTAATTTTTCCGCCAATAATTCAATTTTATATGCAATTAAATTAATTAAATCCCAATAATTATTTTGTAATTTTTCTTTGTAATATTTTATTTTTTCTTTTACTGATTTTGTTTTTAAATCTTTTTTCATATAATAGTTTTTTAAAATAGATATTTGACAGATTTTGGTTTTATAGGTTGGTAATCTTCGTATAACCATCTTAATTTATAATTCTAAAGTTTATTTAACTCTTTTAATTCTTTTAATTTATCTTTTAATTAATTAATTTTTATATAACAAGTTGTATTATTATTTTGGTTTTGCCTAGAGTAAAGTGGTTGGTCTCGTATATGGTTGTTCCCCGTCCCCGTTCCTGAAAGTCGGGAAATTTGAGAGATTTTTTGAAAATTCCCCGCCCCCCCCCCCCTCATCGGCCCATCAAATAACCACAAATGAGGCAAAATCCGTACATCTAATGTAAGAACCCTGATTTAATACCTGTTTAGGTAAATAATTAATTAATTCATTGACAATGTTATTTTTAATAATTTCTATTTCTGGAGAATATCTGAGCATATTTCTAGTTATTAAATAATAATTTACATCATCTATTGTATTAAAATATTTTGCAATTAAATTTTTAAAAGAAAAACGTTCTTCGGGGTTTTTATTTTTTAAATAATTATATTTTCTTGTTTTTAACCAATCCGAATTAATTTCCAATTCGATTGTTTCACCATTTACCAATTTGATAGAATTTTCCAAATAAATTATAAATAAAAGAAAAAATATATAAATAATATTCATTTTTATTTAAATTAATTATTGTTGTTTAAAAAATTAAAATAATAATTAAAAATTGTCGAACAGAGGGAAATATATGTGTGTAATAAATATGTTTATTTTCAAAATGCTTAAAATTGCCCGTTAAATATTAAAATCACATATGCACTTTATTAAAAACAAGTACGTCTTCTTTTTATGTTTTTAGTTTTTTTGTTTTATCCAGTCATTAATTTGTATCATTATATACTAATATGTACATCTCTGTATTTTGCACTTATACTCACAACTTTATTATAATTTAAAGCTTTTATTTTGAAATTATATTAAAATGACAATATTAAAAATGGCAATTAAAAACATATGTATTATCCTGCCATTAATTTTTTTTAGGTTTTTACCTATCTTTTGAATTTCTGAGAAATTAAGGGCAGAGGATTATTATTTCTCTGAAATAACCTATCTTGGCATTTGACTTAGATTAAGACTGGATTAATTTCTCAATTATTATTATTTATTTTTCAGAAATTTCTCAACATCAAATTTATTACAATCATTTACATTCCAAAATTTATCCAAATCTAGTATATTTTTTCTATCTCCTTGAAATTGTTTTGTAGCATGTTCACATATTTTGCATATTGGTGAATAATCAAAACCAAATTTTCGATTTGTATATGTTTTTGTCCATTTAAAATACCTAAATTATATCTGAGTTTCATGAAGTAACCCTTTATTAAGAATAGTTTTATTTTTTAAAAAGCTCTTCTTATGTTCAAATAACCCTTGCATTATACCGATCCATAAACCTGATGATTTTTCATTGCTCCAGGTTGGTTATGGTTATCCGAAACGTCCCGAAAAGTCCTTCGGTTTCTTATCGTAATTTTTTGACGATCAGACAACACTCCCCATCCACCATCTTCTCTCTTAATTCCCAAACTTGACCAGCGTTCCGAAGTTTCCTAGACCGAGAAGGTCTGAAACTTAATTTAAAAATTTACTTTAAATATCTTTCTGTATCATTTTGCAAAGCATTTAAATACGCAGCAAATTCATTTACTGACTTAAAATCATCCAAAGCAATAAATGAATTGGAAGGAACATCCATTCCTTTTAAAACCGATCTACTAAAAACTAGAGTTGCGCGAGATCGATATCTCGACCGAGACCGAGACGAGAATCTCGGTCATTTTCCAATCTCGGTCTCGGTTTTGCCGAGACGAGACCACCTAACCGAGACGAGATTCTCGGCACTTAATCTCGCCGAGATCCGAGATCAGTATACACCCCTAAAGATTGACCTTCTTGAGATTTATTTTTATTTTGACAAAATATTTAAAATTTTGCTATTGGCATATTGTTGTAACTCATTTTAATTTAGTTGTTTAGAGCACAGGACAGGACCCTGCACAGGATTTTTCAGGATCCTGTCCGAAATCCTGCCTTTTTTCAGTATTCAGGATTGTCAGGATTCCAGGATTTTCAGGATTAATCCTACAGGATCCTGTCCTGTATGAAATTTTAAAACCCAATCCTGATACAGGATCCGTGCTGAATAATTCTCACGGTTCATGATTTTTGACTCAAACTATTACATAAAAGTAACTACCTCAGGAACTACCTACTCTACTTTTAATTCCAGATACTTTTAATGCCTTTATATTTTTCTTAATCCCCAAATCCCCTGACATTACTTTTAATCCATCCAAATCTATTTAATCCCTGTTTCTTATTTATCACTCTTATATGTATATTCTCATTATTAATCCCGCAAATCACTGATATTCCCCAACCTCTCCGAAAAATTTGGCTTCATGTTCAAATTTTTAACTGACCCGACCCAACCCGAGACCCGAAACCCGGACTTTTTTTCGACCCGAAACCCGATCCGAAGAAAATTTTGAAAACCAGACCCGAAACCCGACCCGACTTTTTTCTCAACCCGGCCCATCCCTGGTACATACCCGTAAAAAATGGACCAGTAAAAATGGACATAATTAAGACTCAATTTTTCAGCGCTTAGGCAAAAATTTTGAGAATTTTGGAAGGTCAATAGGCCAGATTTCCTCCTTTTTCAGCGCCCTAGAGAGGGCACAGATGATTTTGATGATGATTTAGATGATATTTAATTAATTTGGTTGGGTTTTGGTGGATAAAAAAAGTTTTGAAGAATCTCGGTTTATCTCGGATCTCGATATCGGTCTCGGGTCAAATTTTGCATCTCGGTCTCGGTCTCGGTCATGCGAGTCTCGGTCAATCTCGGTCTCGGATTTTTTCTAAAATCTCGATCTCGCGCAACTCTAGTAAAAAGTAGAGTAGGTAATACTTTGTCATGTTCATGCTGTGGAAAAATTCATTGGATGGGAGATGTAATTGAATTAGGGTAGCTCAGGGTTGGATGTGTCAGAGTTTTTGCCAAAAAATCGTCGGGATACGGGAGACGGGGAGCTATTCTTTCTGCAAGTGACTTACAATTTTTTATCGAAAGTGAAGTTGCAATCGTATGGACATTTAATGTTGGAATCAATCACTGGATAATCTGGGTAACCAATTATTTGTTTTGTCACATTATAACATTTATTCCAAATCAAAATTGTGGGCATTTTCTGATTTTTGATCTTTATCTTAATTATTTAATTTTTAATTTCAAAATTGAGTTCTTCAAATTAATACCGATATAGATAATTTAGAAATATAAAATTGATTTTGTTTGTTATAATTTAGATAATATAATGAAGGTAATATTAGGATTATGAATATGAATGAAGAATAAATAAATTTTGAGAAATCCATTAATTTCTATTATAATTTAATTAAACTTTAGAAATAAATTTTAGGATTAAGTTTTTTTACGTGGCTCTAGTGATTTTGAACAATGTTTTTAAGTTATTAAAGCGGCCCAATAGGAATGTTACGGATATCAGAAAACCGGCGAACCATGGATGCTAAAGATAATTTCTAAACCACTATTTGAAATCCGGGCCAAATTTTTGTTAGCTCGTGACATCTATGGAATGAATAAATAATTAAAAATATGAATAATCTATGGGCCAAACCCATTTTATAAAATGGTATAAGATTGAATGTAATGTGAACTTGAGAGCTTGCGATGCAAGGTTAGCCCCACAACTGGCAGATCATTTTAAAATTTTCTATATTTCTTAGTGTTCTTGGCACTGAAATACAATTAAGTAATAGTGTTTGTTCAAAATTAGAAGTTATAATTAAAATTTCTAATAATTATTGGTACTATTATGTGTAAAAATGAAAACATAATTTTATAAAATAGGGGAGATTTAAATATTCTATCCTATTATCAGCCCCGAAGTTGAGAACGGGAACATTGAAATCAACGATAATTTGAAAATAAAGCCTTCTTCCTTTTCTATATTTATTTAAAAATAAAATCTAAAATATAAATTCATTTAAAATTCTGCAAAATATTTTATTTGCAATTTAAAAACTTCTCTCTATTTAATGAGAATTGAATAATTGCTAAAAATTTTAGCATGAATTGTGTGGGCTTGCTAATTTCTTTCTCTTTTGCTAATTTTTTTCTATTCTTTCTCTCATAGACAAATCTTTAATCCATACCTAAACGGTTATATCCAACTTAATAAAGCTAAAAATAACTGCAAAATTCAGATTATTGCAGAATAATTGCAGAATGTTTTAATGAATTAAACTTGCCAACTCTAAAATAATTTAGTTGGGAATAGCGGTGAATAATTGATTCATTTTAATTATTTTATAGAGATTTAAATCATGAAAGATTGTGTTGATGTCACGCTGAAATAAATTTAAAAAGTTAGTTAAAATTCATATCAGGGATCGCGCTGACAGAAACCCAAAATCTCAATTTCACGATTTTCGTGAATCGTGAATTCACGAGAAAAATGTTCGGGAATTCCCGATTTCTGGAATTTTGCTTTTTTGGTGTGAGATTAGAAGTAATTACGAGGACCCACCCTACCTTCCGCGAGCCCAACCTATCGCCAACAAATGTTCCAAAAATGGAAGACAAACACGGGAGATGTTATTCCTTCATGTGGGAATGTTGTTCCAACAATCGGGCATGCTTCCCAATACGGCAAGAGGTTGTTCAGAGAACGGGGGATGTGGGGTGATCAACAACGGGGAAGGAATGATAACATAATTCATAGAGGAAGATTATCAAATTTTTATTTCGGCACAAAAAAAGGCAAGAAAATTAAACTATTGTTTAATTGAAAGAACTCACATAAATTAACATATAAAAACAGTATAAAAGGATAAAGTTTTTAATTAAACTTTAACTAAACTTAATCTCATTAAAAACAACAATGAATCTTCTACCCGCTGAAACCAATCTTGACATCTTCAAATGCTTCAACTTCAACCAATTAAACAACTTTCAACTGTCAAATCGTCATTTTTGTGAATTGATCAACAATTACAACAAAGAATTGACCGTGAAAGTGTTCTATTCGGTTGAATTGGTTGTTTGGAAAAATTGTGGGTTTTTTGACCAGTACTTATTAAAAGGTTTTATTTTACAGATGTTTGCAAGGATTTGGAGTATAGTCGTAAAGAATTGGACTTGAATTTGAGCGAAGAAGTTAAATTAAAGGTAATCCCTTTGCTTGAGTTCCTTTAGCTATAAACTCTTATTTTTTCAGTGGAAAGCAGCGATTCAACAACGAATTCCTTTTTACTTTTATTACAACAACAACAACTCTCCTCGCAAAAATTTTGATGTGGCAATTGATGATTATAAGCTTAATGAAATTGCAAATTTGTTTTTTGTAGCAAAAGGAACAGGTGAATATAATTTTGTTTGTTAGTGGTTGATTTTAGAAGAAGCTTTTTGTGAAGCTTAGATTTTTAACTTTTTAAATTTTTAGATGGAACGTCGCCTAAATTTCTTCGATTTCAATTAAAACAATATCCGGAAACGATCGAAGAAATGCTTGTTTTTCGTTACTGGCTGAAGAAGCTTTCCTATTGTTTTACTGAAAACTTCAAATTTGAGCAAGGCTTTATCAATCCGGATATTCTCGAATTATTTTTTGGTGATGCTCCGTTGAAATTCCACACAAAATATTTTTATCTATACCATAAAGAAGGCCTAGACTACTCGGTTCCTGGAGGATTTGAATTTATGTACCATCACGTCGTTATTCATGGACGCAAAGGCTTTCACTATGACGATTCTAAATGGAAAATGTTTGGCGAAATGGTAAATGAAGAGGAACGTTATTTTCCTGGAGAGGAGGAGGAAGAGAAAGTATTTTGTAAGGTTGTGGAATACGAAATGTTTCGTGTAGATGATCCAGAAATAGATGATCTAGATTATATGTATTTATGTTTCCGTATTGGCTCTAAGAAAGCATTTCATTTCGAAAATTTTGGTATTATATATTTATGTAATAGATAAGTTCGATATTGTTTATTTACCTGTTGTTATTTCGATACAATGTATGTAAATAAAAGTAACTTTTAAATGTATCTGTTGAATCCATCTGAGTTTTTGAAATAAAATATTATTTTTAAGAAAAATTTATGAATTTCAGAATCTTAAGATATAATCAAACAAAGCAAATTTCTAAACTTAATTTCTAAAAATAATAAAAATTCGTTTTTTAAAAATATTTTGTTAATCTAAAATTTTAACTAAATTAAAATGATTTAAAATCACATTAAAATATCTAATAAATATAACGAATAAAATGTGCGATGAAAAAAGTAGGTGCGCAATTCCTTGTTAGTTCTACTGTAGGGAAAGGAATAACTCGGGCTCGCATGCGAGTATATTTCTAGTTTGAAATGAGCGACGGAGATATATGATCCCCAGAAAACAAATCCACCAACACAATTAAACAAATAAAAATATTTAATAAAAAAAATAAGGCTCTAGTTTAGGACATGCGTCCCATGAGCGTTTATGCGTCCCATGAGCTTTTATGCGTCCCATCAGAGAATATGCGTCCCAAAAATAGTATAGGCGTCCCATCAGAGTATATGCGTCCCAAAATTAGTACAAGCGTCCCATCAAAAAAAAAGCGTCCCATAAATAGTATAGGCGTCCCAAAGATCCAGTCATATGTTCGTCATAACATATCTTCTCGATTACATTTAGCATGAAATAGCTTTGACTCGTCTATTTCTAGATAAAAGTAAATACAATTTTGCGTAGCTTATCGTAAAATTATCTATAATGCTGCTGGACCTCCCAATATATCGCAAATTGTATTCTAAACCTGACATGTCGTCCCCGTCAAACTCCGATCCCCGACACTTCTGACACCGAAGGCTCGGGGGGCTACCCTACATATTAATAATCGATTAATGCTAGAACAAAATTTAATCTTCTGCTTGTTGATCCTTGAGCAAGGAAGCATAATAATGTGTTTAATTGTCATTTTCAATAAATGTAAAATAGTAGTTTTGGGACGCACATACTCTGATGGGACGCCTATACTATTTTTGGGACGCTTTTACTTTGATAGGACGCTTGTACTATTTTTGGGACGCATATACTCTGAAGGGACGCTTATAGTATTTTTGGGACTCATAAAAGCTCATGGGACGCATAAACTCTCATGGGACGCATGTCCTAAACTAGAGCCAAAAATAATACATATAATTGTGATTAATAGAGAAGGAAGGGTAGTTGAGAGAGAATTTATAGACAAATACCCTACAAACAAAAAGAAAATTTAGTCGACAAGTTCAAAAATTTCGACAAAATTTTTTATTTAGTTGTCCAATAAATAGCCAAAATTTTCATTTTCTTCCTCTAAAATTTCCCTTTCATTTTTCTAATTTTAATGAGAAAAGTTGATCCATATTCATCTGCATCATTACAAAAATAAAATTTTATTTTTGGATTATGAATATTGGCAATTTGGTATTTTGTATATTTTACATCATTTAATTGGGTGACACGACTCGGGCACAGTGATCCATTTGCACAGTAAGACTTTTGCACAGAGGGCATCTGCACAGTGGACGATTGCACAGTAATTTGTGGTTAAGTGGATTCGTGTTAGGTTTTATTTATTGTTATAAGGGAATAAATGTTACTAATTATTAATACCTTTACTAAAAAATCTTAAATTGTATTAGAATTAATAAGAAAAATCTGTAAATCACATAAAGGATCAAATGAATAAAAAATCTAACTGAACATAATTATTGCCCCGAGTCTTAACAACATTTTTTAAACAAGAAAAAACTTTTTGGGTACGTACCCCTTTTAAAAAATCTGTTAGCTTTATTGGCTGTATTTAAATTTAGAAAAAACCATTTTATTATTAAGAAACTTATTAGAAAGCAAATTATTTATCATTAAAAATTAGTAAAAATTCATTTTTACAACAAATACTTGCTCTCTTTAATAAAGATCTGCTAGAATTTCTCCACTTGATAAGCGAACAAAAATTTAGAATATGTAAAAAAGAATTAGGAAATACTTAGGTTAGAAAAAGAATTATGAATTCTAATACAATTTAAGATTTTTTTAGTAAAGGTATTAATAATTAGTAACATTTATTCCCTTATAACAATAAATAAAACCTAACACGAATCCACTTAACCACAAATTACTGTGCAATCGTCCACTGTGCAGATGCCCTCTGTGCAAAAGTCTTACTGTGCAAATGGATCACTGTGCCCGAGTCGGAGCGCCTTTAATTGTCCAATTTTAACTTTTTCAGCTTTCCCATTCAATTTAAAATTTTTGAGTGAAACATAATGCAAGTCAATAAAGGATATAATTCTTGAATAGTCTATTTCCGTTGATGTTGTTATGTACTAAATTTTATATTTAGGTACTTTATGGATATGTCACCCCCCTCCTATTTTGAGTCTCAGAGTTTTCCTTAACTGTAGAAAATGGTCAGAGATTATTTTCTTCTCCATGTCAATCATTTTTCTCTTTTTCAAGTATTTTGCTTATTTATTTTGCTTTTTCACATATTTTGTATTTACATTTAACTCATTTCGTCTCCACATTTCACTTATTTTGCTTGAAGAAAGAAAAATGATTGACATGGAGAAGAGAATAATCTCTGACCATTTTCTTCGTTTAAGGAAAACTCTGAGACTCAAAATAGGAGGGGGGGGTGACATATCCATAAAGTACCGCATTCTATTAGGAGTACACCCCAAGGTACAACAAGGCCAAGGTACCGTCGGACTATAACTTTCTTCAAAATTGTCGAGTCCAGGACGCCCTGGTATGGTTCGATGCATCTCGACGAGCTGAATCGAACCATGCCAGGGCGTCCCGGATTCGACAATTTTGAAGAAAGTTATAGCTCGGCAATACCTTGGGCTGCTCCCTTCTATTAGAGGGTGACATTCTATTAGAGGAAATACAGTAATTCTGATTTCTGTTTTAAACTATCTCAAAAAACATAGATAACTCACGTCAACAAAAAGATCATGAAGCCTTATCGTTTCAAGTCCAAACAAACAAATTTTCGTAAAGTTATTGGATTCATTTGTTAAAATATTTAGTAAAATATCCATATATTGTTCTGGAATGCCATTCTCTTTAAAATCAATACAAAGACATTCAGAAATTGCCAAATGATTAAAAGAGAATTTAAAAATATTTTCAATTGTATAATTGTTAACAGATAGAGACAGTTTGTGAATTTTAAATTGAAGAGGGGTTGCTTTGTCGTTATCAAATAATAAATTAAGCATTTTTGGATTAAATATACTTTTATCAAAATAGAAACACTCAAAAGCACAATTAAATAGATGTTCTAACCAGCATCGGACAATAATCATTTGTTTTATACTTTTTGGAATGTTTGGTAATTTTAAAATATAGAAGCCTTTTTTGATAAATAAATCTGGAAATGATTAAAAAAATAAGATTTTATTTATAAAAGTAGAGTAATATTTAAGTTTAAAGCAGGAGGGCAACTCCCTATTGGTCCTCCTCCCTATTGCCTTATCTGACAGTGGCAGTAGCGAATTTCCGTCTCTGCCCCCTAATCCAGTCAAATCCCTCGAATACCAATAGGGAGTTGACATTCTGGGTTGATCACATATATTTAACTAGGGATAACCAAACAAGAATTTTTTGCATTATTCTGTACCTGTTTTCTCAAGACGCATAAGAATGTTTGTGCCAAATTTAAAACTATTTAAAAATAACGGTAATGATTCGGCTATCGCTGATTGCCACTTAAAATAACAAATATAGACTTGAGTAAATAAAAATTAATTTTACTTTCTTTTTAAGTCGATCATTTAAAGTAATTTCAAAAATTCCAGATTCAGGCTTAATAATTTTATGTTCTAAACGTCTAGGATAACGAGAGACAATATCAAACTAAAATTAATTTAAATTAAAATAAATAAAAAATATTTACTAATTGAAGTTCATCAAATTTCATTCGTGCCAATCCCCCCTCATATTTATTAATAAACCCATTAAAATAAAAATTTGTTTGTTTAAAAGAGAATATTTGATTGAAATTAAGACACTTCAAGACATCAAATTGAAGTTCGGTTGGTAGAGAATTCATTTTTAATTTTAATTATCTAAAAATAAAATTTACATGAAATCTACTATTTAAAATTAGAAAACTTGAAAAATTCTGACATAAATACAGGAAATCAGCTCGTCAAACGATATGACATTTGAAATATCTCACCGAGATACACTAAAATTAAGCTCGGGACTTAATTTGATGACAGCTGATATTTGGGGTGAAAAATTTGATAATGTGAATTATAGCTCATTCGAAAGAACTCGACAAAAATAATGATAGCTCCAAAAATCAGCTGGGTTCTCTATGGTTTTTCGATATTCGGAGGCATATCTCTCAGCCTATAGTTGAGTCCCAAGCTTAATTTTAGTGCCATTCGATCCAGCTTACGAGCCCTTTCAAATAACATATTGAACGACTGTGTTCTGTATCGACTTGCAATGTGTCCGGTACTAACAGAATAGACTATAGACTAGCAAGACGCACTTTACCACAAAGGTAACAATACAATGTAATAAGCGATACTGTGATTGAGTAGAATACTGACTACGACTATAGAATTTGACTGAAATACTAAAAGTCTGCGCCTTTTATACTTTAGAGAAGATAGGCGGGAAACTTTCAGGGCAAAATGACCGCCTATTTTCACTAATTACTTCATAAATTCTGCGTTTCTGATTAAGCGAGTGATGAGTAAAGTAAAAAAGGCAGTGGTCAGTTGTGGTCAACTAGCGTGTTTATAATTTTGGGATAGCCAAAATACAAGGGTAACTCTTTTGAATTTTTTTAATTTTTCCAAACTTACATATAGAGTTATAAAATCTACATACACTAGGGATGGAAAAATTAAGAATATTCCTTTTAGAAAACTTTTCTTGGTTGTATTTTTAAGATTTATAATTAGTGATGTTTAAATTGAAGAAAT